TGGACACGGGACACAGTTGTAGTATGGCGCGGACAAAGCATTATAATTTTTAAATAGTGTATTAAAATTAATATAGCATCATATCAGAAATGACAAGCAATAATAATTTAATATCATAATTGCTTGTTTAGCTTATAATATGAAACAAATAAGCACAAAATATATAGTACAACCACAAAATATATAAGTAGAACTATTTAGTACAACATGAACATTCAACTACTCATTAATATTTAATAACATTACAATCTCAAACTATATTTGAGTTAGTTTTATGCTTCAAACTTCTTAAAGTTCTAAGCTAAATGCATCCATGTATTCAAAATGATGTGTGTTTGAGGTTTCCCATTCCATGCTAGTGTAAAAGAAGTAATGAATTTTTTGATAAATTGCTAACAAAATGGTTATAAACTACTAACAACATGTTAACAAATATAATAGCACGAACTCGAATGAACTCAAGAAAATAATAAAAATTAAAAGTCATGAAATTAAATTTCAAGATAACGGTTCCACCATAACCGTAAATAGAAGAAAAAACTAAACTCCATACCTTTTGGCAGAGATCAAGAGAGAGTGAGTGATCTAATTATTGAGATCATGCATATATTTAGTGTTGTTGGTGTAGGTCTTTGTATGCACCGAGCTAGGGCTATTAGGAATGTTAATATAATCGATCTTTGTGACCTCGTCTACTTACAAAAATAACAAAGAGGAAAAACAAAGGAGTGATGACCTCACTTACTTGAGTATTAGGCTCATGCTAGCGTATTAGCCTCCTTCGGCCTTGCTTGCTAGCATAAACCCTAGCCTGTTCAATCACAGAAATGAAGAATACAAATGGATACGACATACGCGACTACTTAGAAATCACGTGTTTTTAGTAATAGAAGGTTATATGAGGTGTAAAAAAAAAAAAAGGTTATATGAGGTGGAATTGTAGAGTATGATAGTCTAAGAGCTTTAAAGAAAAGAAACAGAGAGAGGGGCGGAAGAAAACTTCATAAAAAAAAATTTAGGGTTAGAAGAATTTCTTCTAATTCTTTTTGCAACAAATATAAGTTGCATTATATAGTTGATAATTAATATTATTAAAAACCAGCCTACATAGTAAATGTCACGCTCAAGATAGTTGTTGATTGGCAATATCATCATCAAGTAGAGATCTTATTAGGGGCTGCACACCCCACTAAAGGAATAAGCCACTAATTAGTTAATAATAAATCCTAACAAGACTATTTTAAGTATGAATACTTTATTATTAGGATTTCAATTATTTAATATATTTAAATTTTATGAATATTAATATTTAATAAAATGAATACATATGTCTCAGACATATGAGCAAAAGGTTTGTATGAGAGGAGTCTTAAGGAAGATCATTTCAGCAGCTTGATTCATATAACATATGGAAAGAGCAAAGTGATAATATGTAAATTAGGCTCCCAATATATATTTTATGATGCCCAATCCTCCTATTCCTCATATCCTAACTATGTAGCATGTGAGCTATAAGAAATGGTGAAATAACACATTGATGAAATTATTAACAATAATGATAACAATTGAATTTCTTCTTGCATTGAGAATAAGAATAAGAAGACTAATTTATGTAATCAAAGCAATCAATTTAAGAGAAAATGACCAAATCATTCTAAAAGGTATTAGCTCTCAGTACCTCTTACCAACTATTTAGGTGTTCTTCTACTCCACCAAATCATTCACTCATTATAGTCAAGGCAATCATTTAAAATAAGAGTACATTAAATGAATGAATCACATAAAGAAGTAGGCAAAATTTATAAATACCATAAGAATAATGGTCATGATATTAGAGGTTCATGGGGTACTTAAGGTCTTGTTTGAGAAGCTTATAAAGTTGACCATTTATACGAACATTTAATCGATTAACATGTTAACAAGGAACCTAAAGAATTAAAATCTGTTGCATTCTATGGAGGAATTAAAACAATTGGTACCATGGGCTCCAGAATCAAATTTGAAAAAATTGTTCTTCTTGCCTTTTAAACAGTAATAACTACAAAAGCACAAAAGCTATCTAATCTCTATTATCAGTAATATAACTAGGGGTGAAAATCATTTTATTTATCTAAACATTAATATACATTTGTATTCATACTCCGAAAATTATATATAATAGTCATGAGTTACACAATTAAAGTATGGAGTCTATTAATTCCTAATTACAAAAGAATAACTAAACAAAAAACAAAGTAACTTGGAGGATCCTATAATTGATCAATCTCATACTTCAGATCCTCTGTCCTGACATTAAATCATTTAAATCATATATAATGCGTTAAAAAGCCTAGCATGTCACTAAGTCCTATAATTGGACTCAAAATATAGTAAAGAAGAAGTATGCATATTATCAATCAATATGATCATAAATATATACAAAAATAGTAAGTCACATGTAGTAGTAGTAAAATATATAAAATAATAAAATAGTACGATATAAAAGCCAGCAAAATAGTACAATAAAAAAACCATGGAATCAATGAACCAATAAACTAGTAAATCGATAAGTTAGTAGATTAGTAAATCTATATGGAGGGAGAGTCAAATAAGTGATAAAAGATCCTTCCCAAATCATAGGTCGTAGCAGTAAGGAACTCGTATAAATCAATAAACTAGAAACATCTATGAAAACTATCAGAATATATAACCATGTATTATAATCAAATTAGAATGCACATGTGGTTCAATCCTTCTATATCAATATCCAATCAATATCTTATATCACATGCTCAATATCACATGCTCAATATAGAAATAACATGTTCAATAATAGTAACTCACTAAATAGTGAATCGATTATAGTAATAGTGTAGTTAATCAGTAGTAGTATCAGTGTCATCAGTAATAGTATCGCCCATAAATATGGTGATAATAATAGAAAAATAATAATTAGCAATAGAGCAATAAAATAGTATAATAATAGCTATGCAGTAACATGTAATCCAGTAATCACACCAAACAAGCAACAAGTTTTGTCTTGTATTGTTATTTTTAGTATTCAGTAATTAGTAATCAATAATTATTGGCTCAGTAATAGAGTCTTCACTCCTTTACTGCAGCACAGTAATAACTCCTTATAAATCTCAATTAGTCCATCACATAAATCACTAGAGGATAATAGTAAATCACATTATTTAAAAGAAAACTTGTCAGCTCACCATCCTATACAGGTCAGTCACACTTCATCCAACATTAGTAAAATTAGCCTTTACTTATCCTCATATATAATATTTTCACAATATTATAATAATAATAACAATAAAATATTACTCAATTTACATGCTCATATTCATTCACAATGATTATGTTAATAGTATGTCTATATTAAAATACCAAAATTTATATTTTGTGCAAATTATTCAAAATACATTAACTTTTAGTTTACCTAGAGAAATTATAAACTCATCTAGACAAAATGTCCAAAATAAACAGTATTATAACATTTAAAATGTTGTACGATCGAAGTTCACTAAATTTGAAAAAAATGAATAGATTTAATTGAAAAGAAGTTGGACGGTCGAAATCAATTCTTTAAAAATAGAGACATGATAATAGCCACCTATCTCGATCTGAGCACTTTTTATAAAAAATGATGAAATAGATTGGCAACCAAAATTTTGATTTCTCTTTCCTCTCTTGTCCTTCTATCCCCTTCATTTTCTTCCTTCCACGGCAAGCCGGTGCTAGTGGCAGTGAGGGTTGAGTAAGGCAATTTATAGTGTCGTAGCACCCAAAGGCTTTAGTGTGTATCATCGCAGCACTGCTGCATGCTGAATCCAAAATTATTGTATGATAGAGGCTTTGATGTCATAGCGATAATTTATGGTGTCGTTGCACCCAAAGGTTAATGCTGCAACGTCACAAGCTCAACATCGCAGCACTCTTGTTCAAACAGAAATTCACATTTTCATTTTAAATTCATTTTTTTTTTTTCAAAATCGTGCGGTTACACCATGTATGTTGTCATAAGAGTTAAAGTAGACATAACATGAGAAGCTTGAAAAGGCTCACCTAGTTTGAGATTCATTCCTCTACTTCTTCACCTCCTCAGCAAGTTACCTTCTTGAACAATAACTTACCATAATACAGAATCATCTCCAATAATTTGATGCTTGTGTTTGGCATCAATCGTTTTGAGGTTCTTTGTATCTTCATCAATAACAAGAGTTCAATGAACATCTATTACATCAACCTTTTCATGTGGATAGTACTTAATTTGGAGAATTGTTTACCATATAGAGGCACATTAGTATGGTTTCAAGGAACTGTCTTCTTGAATATACAATCACATTAGAAGCCATCTAAGGGAACAACGAAACCTGAGAAGATCAAGGAAAATGCCTCATTTTTATTAAAGACTTGCGTCAAACTTAAGTATAGAATCTGGATTGTAATTTAAAACTTGAGGCGGGAGAACAAATGGATTTTTTTTAATTGAAGTAGGCGGTTATGCCGTCTCTTTTAGAGGAAAAAGTATTACTTACGGGTCAGAATTCATCTAGAGACTAATAAAAATGCGTCACGTCGCTCAAAAAAATTACTGCGCTCGGTACAAAATGCTTGATAACCGTCTGATGTCCACACAGAATAATCTCCCTTGAGAGAGGCGGTTATATCAATTAAGCATGCTATAACGACCTCTCTGTCAAACTTCTATTCAACCGTCATCGGATTTGTGCCTGACTATCATCATTATAAACTCCAGAATATCCTCACAAAGTCCATGATAATTTTACTATCCTTAAATCTAAGGACAAACCGATCTTTGTAACTTATCTGACAATAGTGTAATCATTTCGACTGAGCGTGGCCCCATAATTTTTTCCTTGTTCTAGAGTTTTTCACGTAAAATTTCTTGTGTTTAATTTTTCTATTTATGTGCTGGATCTTCATACAAAATTAGAACGCTAAACTATATATTTATCTATCATCGTGAGAAGCAAATTTATATTTTTGTATTTCAATCAATTGAGGAATAACATTTTTTTCTTTTCATATATTATATTATTCATAATGTCATATTCGATTGCAAAAATAGAAATTTAAAATACCATTGTTTAGACAATTTCCATAGATAATCTGCTAGACAAGCCCGGACGAACCAGAAAAGACCAATGGATCTTTTGCTGAAGCACCTTCCACGCACTTTTTAACTGAAAAATGCATTACAATTGCAGTCATTTTTAAGGGATCTCCTGCATGCTTTTGATTATATCTCAAATTTGCAAGTGCATTCTCTTTTCCTCTCAAAGATATTCGTCTGAAGATTTCCAAAAGGAAAAAAATGGGAGACTCTGAAATTGCTTTTGGAACATCTTTGATGCCTCGTTTATATTTGCGACGGCTCCTTCAGTTTTCTTACATAGTTGCCTCGGAGAATTTTCTGGGCACCTGTTGCCTTTTATGGACGATAATGCCTGCATGGCTGCATGTTACTATGATGCATTGCAGTTCTTGGTCTGTTGGGATTTTGCCTTCTTGGCCTCTCACCTGCGGAAAATTATTAGGTAGGACATCAGACATAGATATAGGTCCGGATATCAAATTAAAGTTTGACATGCGGGCTTCGCTTTTTTACTACGCTTTGACTGTTCTTTAATTGTGCTTCGACTACGCTTTTTGGCTGCACTTTACTTGCATTTTTGATGCGCTTGACTTAAATTTCAGCGGACACATTTAATTTATAAAGTAAAAAATAAATTTAATTGAATATCCACGTGTCAATATTTTATTGGAGTCCGGACATATCTCTACGTCCGGTGTCCGGATCTAATAATTTTCCCTCACCTGGACGATGATGAACTCCCACGACACAGATCCACTCGTCTTGGATGATCAATTTGGCAACCAGGGGATGTTTTGCGCTGCAAATTATCTCTACATTTGCTGATCCTGATTCATCAATGAGAAAACATAACTTGGACTGGCCCATAATTCATAATCGAGCAACTTCATCAATTCACACCACATTTCCATCTTCGCGCAATTGGGCAGAGCTCTGATCTGGTTTTGAAATCAATTTTCCATTCACTTCCCTCAATCTCCTGTAAACATGTTTACTACAGCTATCATAAATTCTACTCCACATTGGGATGGTTGGTTCAAATGGCATCCTCCGGATTAATTCCTCGAGCTCGACCATCGATCCATGCCTGCCCAATAGCTCGATCATGTACTCATAATGTTCGACCCGCGGTATCACACCATATTCATCACTCATCATGTAAAAATACTTGCAGCCTAAGCTGACAGATCCTTCACTAATGCAAGCAAGCAACAGACCAATAAAAGTGATGTTATCTGGTCTGATCCCATCTCTCTGCATGGCTTCAAACAGCTCGATGCTATAAGCTCCTCTCCCATTATAAGCAAATCCCAAAATCGCCGAGTTCCACAAAACAACATCCCTCGAACTTTCCTTTTCGAAAACTCTGACTGCGTAGTCTAAAAGCCGGCACTTACAGTACATGTCGACTAATGCTCCTCTAATTATTACATCAATATTGAAACCATTCCTGATCAAGCAAGCATGAATTTGCTTCCCATGTTCAAGCATGAAAATATTGGCAGAAGCAGCCAGCATCAAACTAAAGGTGAACTCATTAGGTGCCGTCTCCTTTAGCATTTCGATGAAAATATCAAAGGCTTCTTCGCTTCGTCCATGACGAGCATAACCTGCAAGGAGAGAATTCCAGGAGACTTTATCCCTTCTGGAACCCATTTGAAGGAACCAAAGGTCAGCACTTTTAAGATTCCCACATTTTGTATACATATCAAGGAGGGCATTGCTGAAGAAGATATCAGGGAACAAGAGATGCCTATAAGCAAATCCATGAATCTGTTTTCCCTTTTCAGAGTCTAAGAGTCCAGCACAAGAGTTTAACATCAATCCAAGTGTGATAAAGTCAATCTCTGTAGTTTCCTTTTGCATTTCATGGAAGAACTCAAAGGCCTTTTCCCAGTTAAAAGACTGCACATATCCTGCAAGCAATGCATTCCAAGAGACCACATTCCTCTCAGGCATCTCATAGAACAGCTTCTCGGCTTCATTTAATCTTCCACAGCTCGCATATCCAGATACCATTGAGGTCCATGATACAACATCTCTGGAAACAGAGCAATTGAAGATCCACCGAGCATCCTCAATACACCCACACTTTGCATACAGTTCCATGATTGAATTCTCAACGATATAATCCGTCTCATAACCGTTCTTCACAACAATTCCATGGATTTGGCAACCTACACTAAGCCACGATGAATCTGAACAAGCAACAAGTGCACTCGAAACAGTAAAATTCAAAGGTATAACTCCAACGTGGATCATCCTCAAGAACATACACAAAGCTTTCTCCGCTTGGCCAAAATCAAGATACCTCCTAACAATTACATTCCAGGAAACAGGGTTCGGGTCAGGAATCTCGTCAAACTGCTTATGTGCTTCATCCATGATCTGACATTTCCCATAAACATCAACAAGTGAAGTCCCCAGAATCACATTCACACAGAACCCAAATTTCAAGATGAGCCCATGTACCTGCCTTGCAAGAGTTAATGCAAGAAGGCTGGAGCACGACCTGAGCACTGATGCAAATGTGACATCTTTTGGACGTATACCACTCACATTCATCCGGACAAAGAGCGCAATGGCGTCAGAAGGGCAACCAGCAGAAGCGTAGGCAGAGATCATGGCATTCCAGGTACCGCCAGTCCGGTGGGGCATTTCGTCGAATAGTTCGCGTGCATCGGAAATGGAACCGCACAGAGCATAAGTCTCTATGGCGCGGTTAAGAAGGAAAGTGGAAGGTGGGGAGGGAAAGGAAGAGGAAATAATGTGGGATTCGACGCAACGAGCGGCGACGAGGGCTCGGCGTGAAGCGCAGAGATGGAGGAGGCGAGAGTAGACGGAAGCTGGGAAGGAGGAAGGGGTGGCGCGGAGGACGGTGATGGAGGCGCGGAGGTCGCCAGCGGCAATGTGGTGGAGTATAGAGGAAGAGGGAGGTGGATCCCTGGGGCGGCGGGGTAGGGTTTTGGTAGGGTTTCTGTGGCGTAGGGCATGTCGGATTAGACGTTCGCGGATGGAAGAAGCGGTAACCACCATGGGAAAATTTCTCTCATAAAGTTTGGGTTTTGGGAGTGGTGGTGTTCGTCTGTGCAACCTGTCGCTGGCACCGGAACCGCTTAGAGAAAAAAAGTTGGTCTCATATAGTTAAAAAATAATCTTTCTGCAAGTCATATTGAATATTTTAGACGTGTACATTTTTACATTATCAATTAAGTGTTTTAAGTACAATTGATTGTAAATAAAATAAGACAATTGCTCTCATTATAGTCCTGAGATGATAACATTTGGTAGATTCTTCACTAATTTTTCTTTAATATTCAAGTAGTCCATATGATTTTGATATACTAAACTAATCAAAGCAATAACATAAATTTTTTTTAAATAAGTCATAAATTTGGGCCTTATATAAGATATTATAAAGTTGGCTATATGAAGAAGTCTAAATAGTTAGATTTCAGTCTTCATAAAATAAGCTAGTAATACATTGGCTGAGCGGATGAGTCGATTCACAACCATCATAATAGTTGGAAAGAAAAAATCATCATAATAGTTGTTTTACCGCTCGAATTTGGCAACCTAATGATCAAATTCATAGAAAGATTTTACCAAAAATCGGATGGAAGAAGAAGTGATTGAAGCAGGTTGGACAAAGGTAGAGGTTGGTATTTAACAAATACCTGCACATCTATACGTTGAAATGGAGAAGGGCTTGAGGATTCTAATGATGAAATTGAAGTGTTCAGGTATGAAATCAAAGCTATAGACTAAATTTTATCCAGAAACAGATGATAAAGAACAAGATTTTGAATACGTGAGCCCGTAACAGTTCATTCAGAAGCCCATGCTGGAATCCACTGGTCCGGTCAAAGATTGAAGAATTGCGGACTTGTTGTCTGGGAAACGAGACATTCCCAAGGGCATGCTGTTCGAACATCAGGACCACTTGCTCGAGAATCACCATGACGTTGAACATTTTCTATGGCTAAACCAGGCTATCCAAAACAAGCAACACAGATTTGTGGAACAGGGTTACCAGTACCACAAACAGATATTACTGAATGCAAGCCTATCTGAGAAGACGCGGATACTTTTGCAGAAGTAGGGCTTGTGGGGGCGATTGAACCGGCAATGAAGCTGCAGCTTGTACAGATAACGGGGGCATCGGAAGAGGCGAAAGTTAGAACTCGATGGAAGAGGTATGGTTCGTAGCACCTTCATTGTTGCAGCAAACCGAAGTTAACGGAGCTCCAGTGATGGAATGGTGATCAGGTGAAGCATGAAGGCTGTGAATCCTATAGGATATGGGTCTCAGCGAGCTGCTTCTCTGTAGGGTTTGCAACTCTCTTGACGATCCGGTACAAATCCTGCAGCCACACAAACGTCCTCAGCTTCAGAAATCACTGCCCTTTCTCGCAGCTTCGAGAGCAAGCCGTCTGTAATCTTTGGTGCACACATTGCCGGCTTCTAACTCCTCATAGTGCATCATTCTCCCTTCCTCCACGAACACTTGCCGGTTTGCTGAGATTCCCGCCTCATCTCGATATTTGTACGCAAGAAGGACGACATGCTGAAATCGACGGAGATTTTGATCTCGCCGATCACCGACATGATTGCCGATTGCCTCTTTTCAGAGGCTGCGTGCCACGATTCTTCAGGCCGATACCTTCGATCTCCGGCAGCTCCAAGCAATGCCTCATCATACAAGAAGCAGAAGATCAAGCAGCAGAAGTTTCGCCTTCGTCTCTATGAAGATCCGGAGGTTTTTGCCGAGGAATTATCTGGGATTTGGGATAAACGCTATGCTGCGCTGAGAGAGAGAGAGAGAGGAATAAGTGAGTTCAGCGTGTTCTTCATTGTCCCGCTGAATGGATTCCTTCATGACTGACACTGGGAAGTGAGATCTCTACCAGAATTTTTTAACACAGGAAGAAAAATTTGAATTATGGAGGTCCTTAAATTCTAAAGGTTTTCGTTTGAGTAGGTCTAAAATCTAATACATGAAGATGAAGTGTAATTTTAGTAATAATAATTCTAGTGGTAGGATTGTGACTTTGGACGATCAAGTCATTTATAAAAATACGTGTTTTACATATCTTGGGTCTATTGTTTAAAGTGATGGTGAAATAGTTGGTGATATTAGTAGTAGAATTCAAGTTGGATGGTTGAAGTGGAGGAATGCATCAGGCTTGTTGTGTGATAAAAAAGTACCCCTCAAACTTAAGGGAAATTACTATAAGATGATGATGAGACCTGTAATGCTTTATGGCACAAAATGTTGGTCATTAATAGGGAAGCATAAATTTAAGTTAAGTGTTGTAGAGACGAGGAAGCTCATGTGGATTAGTGGTTTCACTTTTAGAGATAGTGCGAAATGAGTATATATATGAAAAGGTTTGAGTGGCTCCAGTGGCTTCAAGAGATCCAGGCTGCAGTGGGTAAAGGTTCTTCTGGTGGATCAGCAGAATATTCTGAGTACCGCAGTTAGTCGTAAGTAGTAGGAGGAATTCAGCATGGTAGAGTATACGGTTTAGGTTCGTAAGCCTATGCATACGAGGGGCAGATATTTGGTGGCTCCAATTTCTCAGCAAATACCCAAGAGTCTTTATATACCCAACATATAGCTTCTCTTGCAGCCGAGTTAGAGCAGGTACAAAAAGCATAAACTGATTGGCATATGTATATACAACAACATATGGAGATGTAGCAGCAGATGCAACAGTAGAAGGAAATGCATCAATAGATGCAGATGCAACAAACTCAAATGTTAGAGAAAATACAAAAGTTGAGTGAGTAGATGAGTGGGAGGAGTACATCATCAGGAGAGGAGGAGACTGAATCAGGGTAGATGTTATGTATTTTAATGATGTGGACATCTTTAATTGTGTATTTGTGGACATGTTTACTTAATTGTTTTATGAACATCTGAATTTGTTTATTATTAGATATTTGTTGATGTTGTTAATGATATTATTCTTATTTTTGTTATTGAGTATATGTTTGGTGATGTTATTGATTAGAGCTGGATATTTTTGTTATTGAGTATATGTTTGAATGTATATTGTATTGCATTTTTTACTATGCAGATTTATGGAAATCAGTTTTAGAAGTCAAGTGATATTTTTTTTTGTTTATGCTACAGGCTTTCCGGCAGATTATCCACTGGAAAGACCTCCGAAAAAATGATGTGATGAAATTGGATCCTCTTTTCTGGCATATTATTGTGTTGGAATTACCGGTGGATATACCTTCAATCATTCTGCTGATAATAGTGCAATGGCTGGAGGTGGCGGATTATCTGCCGGTGTTACTGGTGTACTGTATATGTCGAAAATACCGGTGGAACAAACATCGAAATTCACTACCTTAGAAAATGATGGTTCTTCAAATTTTTGCACTGGAACGCCGCCGAAAATGCCACCATAAACATACCGCCGGTTTAGGTTTTTTGATGCGTGAATTATTGTTGGAATTTCCGTCGGATTAATAGTGTTACCAGCGGATTTTGTCCGCTGGTAACAACGTGTTTTCCTGTAGTGCTTGGAGAACAGCCTGTATTTCTCTATTTATTTTTGGGGCTTTGAATGCCATGCATTTTGTATTTCTGTTGGTGCACTTAGGCTCTTTAAAGACTATATTAGAATCATTAAAATATTACATAAGTGCTCTACACATATTTTTACATGTTTATATGCTTCTTATACTGTTTTTTATATTCCTGCAAGAGTCAAACTAGAATGTATCTAAGAACTATTATATGTATGTACAAGCTTTTATAAATCATCGATTGTATATAGATCAAGTTGTACATCGTACTTAGTTGTAAAGAACCAAATATACATGCTTATATATACAAGTGAGGCTTTAAAAGACGATGTCCACTTCTTTGGAGGATAATCTCTTTTGGAATCCCACAGAAAACTTGGTGCTCTAAGACCTTAAGCATATGTCTTTGATTTATATATATGATAATTTTAGAAACCTAGGCTTCTTGTAGTGGAGTATGACCACATTTCTTTTCTGCAGAGTTAGACCGAGTTGATTATACATATTTAAATCAATCATAAAGAAATTTATTTTATACAACCATTTTCTCTTTTACTTACATCATTCCATATATTGCATTCATGTAGGTTATAACTTATGTTAGGGGTAATTTATTTTCTTAGATTTTTTCTTGTGTATATGCTCCAAACTTTGTATGAACATGTATACTAGTTCTAGGATGACATAACATTGGGTACTATAGAAACCAACCCCTTTACCTATCTATACATACATGTTTAATTATATATATATAAGGCAACTTCTTTATAATTTAAAATTAATATGAGTCTAATCTCCACGTTAATCAAAAGTTTTCTCTTTGGAGATGTAATCAACTATAGGAGCTTGCCTCTATAAGATCCCAATATAAAATAAACCTTATCTTAGTTTACTAAGAGAGGGGAAAAATCCTCTAAATGTCGATCGAGAGAATCTTGGATTAATCTCATATTTTAAATAATATGTAAATGTGAATTAATATTTATCCTTCGGGATAATCCTTACGTTCCCTACACCGAGTTCAAATAAAAAATTATTTCTTTCCCCAAATAGATATTGTAGTGTTAGTTTCTTCTTCAGGATCATTAACACTAATTATGTGAATTTATCTAAAGAAATATTAAATCAAATTAGTGTTATAAATATTAATCTTAGTAATTTAATTTCTTCACACTTACAAATGATACTGATCATTGGTGAGATTGAATGATATTGATGATAGTGATTGAATTGAGCATGTATATCGATTCTTTAGTTCTTGTATTGGAAGCTTTAGTGAATTTTAGTTATTGTTGGGCTTTTTAGCTCATAATGTTGATTTTAATGATTTCAAGTCTAGAAAGTGATCAGGATCAGGTCATGTTAGAATGTCAGTGATCGATTTTATGTTCTTTTATTTCTTTTGTAATCAGGAGTTTGAGATAAATTAATGATATCGATTTTACTAATCTTCTGACTATTATATATGATTTTGGGAGAATGAATATAGCGAAATATTATGATGTATATGATTTTAGATGCTTTCATTAGAGTGGTTTATATTGATGTATTTATAGAAGCTCTGGTTAATTATTTAAGTGATTAAAAATATGTAATTCTTCTAAATTTAATCTTAGGACATGACAAAATGGTTGGTATCAGAGTGGTTTTTGGAAGAATTGAATTGTAATTAGAGCTATATGAACTGATTATGAGTCACTACAATAAATTATGTATTGCCGGTGAGATTTCTTACAAAAAAATTTTGTCAAAAATTTTAGTGGAATTTTTGATGGATTTTTATTGGAAAATCTTCGCCGCAATTCCAGAGGACTTTTTGACGGATTTGTCCATGGAAATTTTCCATCGAAGTTTCCGGTGAAATTTTTAACATCAAATTTGCAAGGAATTTCTCGCAAAATTTTAAGGTTTCGAGCTGATTTTAGAAAAATTATTATCAAATAGAATAAAATAATTTTTAATAAAAATGTAACTAATTACTTATTAAAATGTAACTAATTAATTAATTATCTAATTTAACTAATTATCTTATCAACTAATTAAAATTAATTAATTAATTAATTTAAATAGTTATCTAATTAACTGATTAACTATGTTAACATTAACTAATTAGCTAATTTACTTTAAATAAAAAAAATTGACAACTTTTTCTTTTCTTTGCAAGCGGCCGAATGGACTGCCATTGATTGCTTTCCCAAGTCCCCTGGGTTTGAAGCGCACCTCTTGTGTATGGTCGGATAGGTACGGATGCGAGTGGGTAGGCTGGTTTGCGAGCGGGGAGGTCACAGGGCTCATAGAGCATTGGCTGTAGCTGGGTTGGTGAGTAGGCCGTAGCTAGGCTTGGTGCGCAAGGTTTGGGCCGCAATTGGGTTGGGAGAGCGGGCCAGAGGTGGGCTTTGGCTCGCATGGCATGGGCCACAGGCAAGCATGGCGTGCAGGGTATGGGCAGCAGGTGTGGTTGCTGGTGGGCAAGCAAATTTTTAATTTTTTCTAATAACAAATTTTTTGACCGAAATCCGTTAGAAATATTTCTAGATGAATTTTTTGCTGGAATTTATTTTCTGACGCTTGTTTTACTGATGAAAAAGTCCGTCAAAAATTTGTTGGAAAGTTATTTTTTCGCAAAATTTACACAATTTTTGACATATATGGTTGCCAAAAATGAATATTTTTCTTTTATTAAGTGTGGTAGAA